TATCCAGGCTAAAGCGGGCCGGGGGCTCCCGCCGTGCCGCTTCCGCTTTACGTGGCCTTAGTCTTCCAAACGAAGGTTCGTCACATCAGTCGGAGTAAGAGAGCTCGGGAATACCCTGTTGGTGTCACGGCCGCTGTTGCTCTACAACTGGCGCGCGTTCCAATGCGCGTAGGTTGGAAGAAATAAAGGCGTTTTTATCTGCTCTGTGTTAATTAGTATATTTCATAGAGCTGCATAGAAAAAAAAAAAAGCTCGTTTTCATGTTTTGCGAATGCTAGTTCTGCAGTTGTTTCCTACTTGCCCTCAGGCTAATGTCATGGCAGTGTGGTGGAAGGGTCCGTCTTTGGGTGGGCTTGTTGAGTTGGTTTTGTTGTTTGGTTGTTGGTGGTGTGGTTTGTTTTTTTTAATACAGTTGTCTTTCATTGGGAAAAGAAGTGGGAAAGAGAGGAAGAAGTCAGTAGGCTTTGACTTGGGTCCTCGCCTCGAATGTGTAAGCTTTGACATGGTCTTGCCATGTCGGTCACAACCGCCCGACTCCCGGTTTGATCCTGCACCCTGGGTGCGAGCTGGCCCGTGAGCACGCTTCGGAGCTCGGCCGGGAGTTCAGGTGTGCCTCTCGGACCCTCCCTTTCTGTCCCTTAACCCAGGAGGTTCAATGACTAAATTTTGGCAAATACGGAAACTGCCGAAACCGACGGTTTCCCCGCTACGCGAGACGCAGGCAGCAGGACTGCTCCGACGGCCGCGAAGGTAGCGCAGGAGCCGCTAGCCCAGGGCGGTGACGCTGCGGCAGCGTGACCTGTTACGGTAGCCTGAGAGCCAGCTGCAGGAATAGAACTGGTACAGGTTTATATTGAATAAATTTAAGTTGGCAGCACAAAACAGATGCTTCCCGGTACTTTCTGTACATTTAAGACGTGATGGAATTTCACCCTGCGTTTTTTCTTCCCTTGCTTTCCTCTGGTTGAGAAACTCTCACTAGTGGGCACTGAAAAAGTAACTGACTGTAACAAACAGTTTGGGCCGTATTTGAAAGAAAATTCTGCAATTTCAGGCCCAGTAGAATAACTAGAAAACATAGCTAGATACCCTTTGAAAAACTATTAACAACAATTTAAAAAAAAAAAAATTGTATCTCTTATAAGGACTGACACTTACCAGTCAGTGCTGGGGAGCAGAATTAAAAAAATAAATCTTAGGGAGCTGGGTACAGAGGAATTATAATTATGATAGTTCAGTTAAGGTACCCAAATGGGTGCTGTTCCTTTTTACGCTGCACTGGCAGTAAAAGAGAGTGAGCCATTATTTCTACATTTAACACTTGTACATTTTTATTTAGTTAAATCAGCCATTGTACACATTGCAGCTATGTATTGTTAGTGTTGTATTTTTTTTTAAATTTTTAACTAATACATGCCCTCATAGATATATTCAATTAGTGTTATCACCATGGGAACAAGATGCTGATTCGTCAACTTAAAATTCACTTCTTCTCACAGTATTCAAGTTCTTTGATAACACAGCAAAAAATCAAAATAAGAGGTGAATAACCATTATGTTGTTACACAGAACATCATCTGCACCGCAAATAACACAACAGAAACGCATTTCTTGAGAGCCCCATCCTTGAAGATCATCCTGTGCTGTCTCCGACAATAAGAAAGCCATGATGCGTTGGGAAAGGTTTCATCATGGGTCTCATTCGGCTTGGCTGCCAAAACGCTTCTTTGGGGGAGGGTTGGGGGGGTGTGTTTGCTTTTTTCCCTGCCTTCCTGCATGGCACCTTGGGTGGTTTTGCCTGCAGGAAGCCAGAACTCCCAAGATGTTTTCATGCTTTTGGCGTCGTTACCTTGATGAAGAAGTGCCCTGGTTCTGAGCACTGAGTGAGTCGTTAAAAAAAAAAACAAACCCAAACAACCCTGTGGTCGCAGGCGGCCGGATAAGCTTGGAAAAAGTATTACTCCTAGAGGAGAGTTGTTGTTTTACTCTGGTTTTGAGTATACTGTTAAAAAAATCAAATAGCTGTTTAAAAACATTTAGTGTGTGTGTGTGTGTGTGTGTTTGTATTATACATGCTAAACCACTACAGAGCTCCCTCCATTAACTGTTAAGGTACAGAACACCCAAAGTGTCAGATCTCTGTGTTCCCTTTTTCGAAAATAGAAGTGCAGACATGCTATCATGGTTTTCAGAGGGTTGGTTTAGAAATATATATATTATATATAGAGATAGATAACAAAATATGAACAGAAACTGGCTTTCAAGGATTGTGAGCACTTTCTCTTTAAAAAACACTTGATTGGAAGATAAAAACTGCTCGCTCAGTGCTAAGAGGGCTAACAAGCTGACAGGATTATAGGAGGGTTTGGCTTTGACCTTCAAATGCCACATGCATGTATCGGATAAGAGGCAATCTTGATCAAACACGGTGAATTAATTACTCTCCTTGTATAGTGGGTTAAGTCTTTCTCTCATAGTTATCTACAGTGCAGTGGCCAGCAGGGAGTACCACCGATAAGACAGTGTGGTTCGCTAAGCAGTGATGAAAATAGGAAACTACTGCAGTTATAATTGTTTCATACACCCTGCCACATGTCCAGATCTAAAAGATTTTAATACCGTATGCAAATGTGCCATAGATAGAGCTGCTAGCAAGTTGGTTACCTAATTGGGTTTGTTGGTGGGTTGTTTTTTTTTGTTGGGTTTTTTTTTTTTTTTCTTTTTCTGGAAATCTTTAAGTGGCTGTCTGAAGGTCTTGGAAGTATTAATGGCCACAGCCAGCTGTTCCTTCATGAGAACAGCTGAATTTCCAGGTTTTTAGCCTGACTCTTAGAGCCTTTAGCTATAATAGACCCCTAGACTGGAAGTCTTACGGATGCAGCAGATCTGCAGTGCTTCCTCCTCAGTCAGTCTGTGTTTGCAGTCGACTGTGTTAACGCTATTTTATTAATCGCTGTTCAGCAGTGTCAACAGACCTTGTAATCCATGATGCTAATTGTAGTCGCAGGCAGTGTGTTTTCTGCAGTCTTGTAAGTCCAAATACTCTTGCTATATACAGTTTACATGTTAAGTCCCTTTTTTTATGACGCATGTACATAGTCACTTGAAGAGGCCTGTAGATGAAGTCGGCTTGACAAATGCAATTTCATGAAGCCAGTGCAGGAGCAAAAGAGCAGCAAGAAGTGGCGATGCTGACAAATTCCCAGTACAGCACAAAGACGACGATTCGGTGGATAAATCATCCTGAATGAAGGATGCTATCTTTGGTCACAAATTAGCTTACAGGGTAAAAAAGAACAAAAACCCAAAAATCGAATACGGGGGAGGGGGGCAGGGGGGAAGAAATGAATTCACCGCATCTGCACGAGTAGAAATGGCAGTGTCTTCCAGTGATTATGTAGGGAATAACGTCTACACCTAGAGAAGATGAATGCTGCGTACGGGACGGATGGTTACGTGGTGGTGTTGAGGGGTGGCAGCTTCTCACTTCGCCTCCTGTTTCCAGTCCTCTTTGCAGAAGTGTCTAAGAAGCTGCTGGAGGTCATGTTGGAGGTCATCCTGTGGTAGTGCTTCTGGCGCGTCTTCCAATTCTTCTATGTGAACGTGTTTTCCATACCCGTCCTTCATCACAGTCCTCTTCTGTGTGCTGGCTTTACTCAGTGTTGTCCTAAACCAAAATAAATGAGAAAACTGTCTTAAACAGCCCACGGTTCCTGAGGGTTTTAAAAAACCCTCCTTTTCAGCTGCAGTTTTAAGGCTTTTTCATTTAAAACACGAACTTTGCTGGCAGCTTAAGCCAGCCTCTGAGGTCAGATATGCGCTATGCATCCGAATACAACACACACCACCGCTTTAACTGGCTTTCATAATGTAAATGAATAGCAATTAATCTCTATACGCTGATTAAGCACACAGTTTTAGATGCCCAGGAAAAACATGCTGTATCACACAGACATGCAACACATGTTGAAATTCACACAAGACCTTCCTATTTGCCCTGTACAATAGTAATTAATGCCAGTTAATTCCTTCAACGCTTACGTCTGAACAAGTCTTACTCCTGACAGCCAGTAAAACTACATTTGTGGGTTAGTGTCCTAAACTATTGTGTTAATTACTCTTTTACCTCATCGGAACCATCTTGCTCTACTAGTCAAAACCTTAAACTTCACCAAGTCCCTTCCAGATCTAGGCAAATAAATGCAGTTGTCATAGGGCAGCTGGATGTCTCTTGCTGAGCCTTACCCAGAAGCCCAATTTTTGGTCAAGTGTCCTTGAGAGAGGACCGTGGGAAGCCAAGCACACTTGGAAATTCCTGCGTGCTCAGCCAGGAATAGCTCGATTTTTATCGGAGAGCTAACGCTTCTTCATTCGACCTAGACGACCAAAAGATCCCTCCATGAGATGGAACACTTTGACAAGAATGCTCGCCCTTCATCCAAAAGCAGATGCAGCAGCTCTCTCGGTGTGTCCTTGTGGCACCATCCCCCTAATTCTGAAACTGCTATGTGTTTTACAGCTCGTTACAATTATAGGCACAGTTTGGTCGGGGGTGTTCTTTCTAAATGCTAACGCTGGTTTCACCACCCCAATGGCCACTAGCAATGCAAACAGTCTGAAAGAAAAGGTGTGTGAAAGATACCTGGGTTGTAGCAGCGTTGCCTGAAGTTGCCTGCGGTAGGAATGAATACACTTGCTTTTTTTTTTTCCCTCCCCAATATTTTCCTCCCTGCCTTGCCTCGTTCTTCGTAAGACTCACCTGTCACATGCATCTATCCATATATATCTCTATCTCCATATATCCTCTCATCTATTCTGATAATGTTCAAATTATCAAATGATCACAGAGTCAACTGGTAGGAGAAAAAAAAAAATACCGAAGGAACCTTGATGAATGTCTTTAACTGTTAAATCACACTGTCAATCCTGTACCGCTTCCTATGAAATCAGCTGGGCAGCGATACGGCTTTGGACTGGGTCTAGCCAGGATGCAGTTAACCTTCTTCAGAGCAGCCTGTGTGGCGCACTGTTTTCCATCTGGGTCTAAACCAGTGCTGGTAGCAGACCAATGCTTTGGCTACCGCTGAGCGGTGCTTACACAGCAGCGAGGATTTCTCTTTTTTCCCCCACTGGCCCCATCTGTGAGCAGGCTGGGGGTGGGAAAGAGATTGGGAGGGCATGCAGCCAGGGCAGCTGACCCAAACTGGCCAAAGGGATATTCCACACTATACAGAATCCTGCTCAGCAATAAAAGCTGGGGGTAGAGGAAGAAGCTGGGGGGTCAGGGAGTTCTATCTTCCAAGGTGAACACCGCTCAGCGACCGGCTGGGTATCAGTCTGCTTGTGGGAGGTGGTGAGGGATTGCCTTCGCATCACTTGTTTGGTTGTTCTTCCCTCTATAAAACTGTCTTCATTCAAGCCCTGAGCCTTCTCGCTTTTGCTCTTCCTGTTCTCTCCCCGTTCCATGGTGGGACAGGAGGGTCAGGGAGCGGCTGCGTGGTGCTTGGCGGCTGGCCGGGGGGAACCCACCACGCCCCTGTTCACCGCGTCTTTTCAAGCGAATGTGGACCTTTCCGTGCATACATCCCTTCCTGTAACAGAAGGTTAGTACTGATCTTTAGTACTTTTGCAAGTAAAGCTTTAGATGCTGCCAGTGGTTTCACTTCAGACGCTCGCTTAAATCCACTCATTTCTTATGAGTTTGTTAATCCTTTTCCAGTAGCAGCAGTTCATTGACATGCCAAGCCAAACCTTTTGATAATCGATCCGTCCTCTTTCATGATTTCTTTCTCGACTAAAGTGGGGAGTTGGACTTTCATGAGGTTACCTGTATAGCTCAAAGCCTCGAAGGAAAACATAAACTTCAAATTAAAACCAAAACCCCAAAACCTAGGACAGAAGATAATTGCTCTTCATACCTTAGTGCTTTACTAATTCAACTTAATGAAAGTTGAATGCTGAGGAAACAATGAATAGACAAATAAGAGAAGCATCTGCCTGCCATTTGCATCCTTTCAAATATTCCTCGAACGTGCAAATCAGTTACAGTTTATCCACGTGAATCTTTATGGTGTGTTTTACACGTGTTATTCAAAGGGACAATAAAATGGAGTAAAAGTGAAGTGCTATCTCTTCCTTATAGGAAAAACTATATCAAAGGTCACTTTTCTATTGCTGAAATGTCAAAACTGATCAGACAAAGCATAAAAACAGGAAAGGTGCTAATTACCCGGTAGCTATTTCTTCCTTTCAAGGACAAATACATCAACTTACCCAGAGAGCAGACTGAACTGTACCAACTTCTGAAATTAGCTCCATGCGTGGTAACATATGAGTGTTTTCTTTAGCAGTAACCACACACATGACTTCTAACAACTTTACTGAACCCCTCCATGCATTTTTTTAGAATCTTAAAATGTCTCATAGCCAATTCTGGAAGCTGACGTTACAACACACACACGCACTTCACATACTAATCCTTTTATAACACGGCTGAGTATAACAACAGAGGTTTATACTCAACTACTGAGAAAGACGCTCCAGCAAAAAAACTTTCAAAAGAGTAGGGTTTCTGCCCAGGTACGCTGGGACACTTGTTTTAGTGTTTATATTTAAAAGGCATCTTTACCTCTTCAAAGTCCTCTTTGGCTGACGGAAGATCAGTAGCTAAGCTAGCATCCCCCAGGTGTTTCTCCGTTCTCTCTCCTTGCACTACAGTGGTCTTTATGACTTTGCTGACCTTCCGGCCTTCCACTGGCTCAGACTGGAATTCGGAGGCACCAGGTAAAACAGCAGGTTCCGACAGGGTCACCTGTACGGTTAGAAAGCAGAGATATACCGAGTATGAATTACGTAATGGATGCTACTAACAAAGCTGTTAGTGGCTCTGCCTTTCCTTCTCAATCACTGCCTCAGAGAACAAGAATATAAAGCGGCGTCTCGCTTTCTACGCGCACACGTCAAAATAGCGAGGGTACATTTTACTACCTGCTTCACAGCTCCGGAACGAGACGTTGTAAGATAGGCGCCGGTTCGGACAGCGGGAGCAGCCCTGGCTATTTTATTCTGCTGAGAACCTTTATGCTGGCAGGGTGAAAACTGCTTCTGGCACCCGAGCCAGCCTGAGGGTAGCAGGGCTATTGCCACCCTCCGCCGCAGCGCAGGCTGCCATTCTGCCTTCCCCAAGGCCAAGGCCACTGGAGTTACGCCGAGTAACGAGCGGACCTTTTCCTGGGCATCCGGGCTGCGTTCGCACCGGCGGTACGAATCAGCGGTACCAGTCCGTACCTTAATTTTAAGACGTTCATCTGAGAAATGAGTCACGCTTGTACAACCAAGGAACTCTACAGGAGCAACAGACCAGAATACTGGAATACCACGTGACTGTGACCAACTCGATTTTATTTGGCAAAATATGAATTTAATCTATATGGGTTTCGTATGATAAAGAGTAGTCCTGATACGGTCTGCTAATAAAAAAAAAAAAAAAAAAAAAAATTACTTTGTTCTCTTCTTACCTTCCTCCTAGAGAATTAATTCTGATGATTAATTCTGGCAAGAGAGAATGGTAATCATGTTCTTAGCATTTCTGACGACCTTTTGTTAGATGTCGCTTTCAACAGCAGTGCTGCTGAAAGCAACCCCTCTCACTTGGCTCTGTCACAACCTTAATTGTGCCGATACGAACGTCTGTGGGGCTCCGTGGTGAACTAAGGCAGGAAAAGATCAACTTAAAAGCACTTACCTTTTCAGGTTGTATTTTCTTTTTAATTACTTGGCTCTACAAACAGCTTGTATAAAAGTAATACTTTTTTTGTAGCCTCCTCAAAGCAAAGAATACACCAGCAAGTTAAACTTAATATACCTGTCTAGTTTTAGAAGGGCTTAGCTGTAGAAACCAGCAGATCATTTCATGTCAACATTCACCGATTTTCTTATTAGAGTAAGAGGTAAAACAACATGTACAGATTTGCCATTTATCTATACGTGGCATTTATCTATTATATGTACCTATAAGAAAGCATCTTAGTACAAAGCTGCTTTCTTGATGAATTTGGTGCTTCTAATAAATCAGCCAACCTGCGTCCTGACTCATTTTCAGAGAAAACTGCCCGCTTTCTCTGCCCACTCCCGGCCTTTTCCCCGCCTTTATTCTGAGGCCTTTCCACCTGCAAGAAAACTTTTTAAAGTATCATTCAAAACCGAATGTTGTTGGCACGAGTAAGAGGTAGGTACTAAGCGCGCCGCTGGCATACTGCTGCGTTGTACCGTCG